TGTGTCCAGTTAATGTCACGATGGTCCAAAACAATCTTAATTCACATAATTGCAAAGGTTAGAAAAAATTATTAATTAGTACTCATCCCTCAATCGATGCCAATGTTGAACAAAATTGTTACAATATGGGGAGAAGTCCTGATATAATTCTACCAAAGCAGAGCAACGATAATATAAAGCCGGCATAGATGAAATAGAACCTATGCACAGTTAAATCTCGAGGCTAGTCAAAAACAAAATTCCACACTTCACTTTCTGAAAGAACATTGCCTGTTGATAATATGATACCACCATCATCTAGTAAAAAGACATTTAAAAAACAACCAGGCAACTGCTAGCTCGCCAGCAAGATAAAAAGAGGACATGCAGCAGTCTCCATGTTAACCTGTTGTTAAACTGGGATTCGATGATCTGAGTACAGCAACACAAGGCCAAAATAAAATGCAAATACAAACACAGGAATTACACAATTGCTCTTCCCACCATTGCCTATTTAATAAATATAGGCAGCACTTGTCTGTCTGGGTCATTTTTCAGTATTTAGTGTTGGGCATTTTTCCTCTGGGCAAACATTTTAAATAGGAGAAAATTCAATTAATTCTCTTCATAAAATATTTGTTTCTGTTAACTAACATGTGTCATCATCCCAGACTATGTTAAATAAATATGTCTTTCTGTTGCATTTAAAACACTAAACATTTATCATCTCTGGCAAGTTAATATACAACATTATGTAAATAAAATAGGGGAGAAGCAACATGAGTGCACAACTTTAGTAGCTCTGAACCCTGCATTTGGGGACTGTCAACACAGAAGAAAAACAGAACTGAACGGAGGAAGAAAGCAGCTGCAATGCTGTGAAACTGATGCAGCAAAATTTGTTTTCCATCTCTAAGAATCAACAAAACAGGAGATGCTCAGAGGCCTTGGAGCACACAAATAATGAAACCTGGTACAAAAGGGGGCTTTGATTAACAGTACTTCGCTGCAGTGCGCAGGCACAGACGCTCACATCCTTTGTTCCATTACTGGTGCAAAGCTGATGTGCACTGAACTGACATGAAAGCCAAATCTTGGAAGCTCGCAGGGTGAGCTTACAACGATCTTTACTTTGAAACATTTTTCACAATACCATCTGGCAGAGAAAATGTAACTCCTCCAACCCCACCAGCACATCCTGTTAGGCTTCCTCACTTTTTAAATGTCCTCATTGTATCTAATAAGATGGCTTCATTTCAAGCTATTCTATAGCTCTTTTAACATCTTTGGGTAAAATGTCACATTGGGTCAAATGGGATGAAAGAGTAATCGCTCTTTTTGAGTGATGCTATTTTTTTCATATGTCTTTATACTCGGTAAAACTCATTCATGTACACTTCATCGACATGGAAAACAAAGGCAGAAGCAGTTTAAGTCTGCGTCGTCTTAATGTCCCATCCATCAGCCACATTGCATAACTCAACACAATCACAGGCACACCGTGCTGGATCTGATCATGTTCATAGCATGGCATGGAGAAGAATTAACTTGAAGCTGAGAATACAAATGAGAAAAATGCTAGATCAAAGCTACAACAAAGCAGATTAAGAAAGAAAGAAGAAATATACATATTTAGAGATTAACTTGCCATGTCTTGTAAAATTATGCTCTCAGTCATGTCATTCTTTGTTATTATAGAAAAAATAAGGAAAACAAAGAATCTTAGCAGCTTCTTGTCAGTGGCAATTATTTTAAATGGATTCCAAAATACTTAACCCATTCATCATAAACCTATTCACCATCCACACGGTGAAACTCTCTTAATATGTTCTTGTCTGCATGCTTTTTGTGGGCAACTGTTTCAGTTTTAACATTCACTTTGCACTATTCCCCATTCGGAGGTCCAAGGACAGCTCATGGCTGAGTGAAGTTTCCCAGCGACTGCAGGAAAAGCTCCAACAGCAGCACAGATACTGAATGAATCAGAGGGAAGATTAATGATGAAGATATGTCACAGCCAATCTGTGCTAAGGCCAGAAGCTGCACAGGACCACTGTCCGCCCAAGGAGTTACTGCAAAGCGTGTGCGACGCTGCCACTTGTGTGCCGACACACAGCGTGTGTGTGCAAGTGTAAACTCTTTTAAGCATGTCATTATGTAAACAATATCTGCGCCCATTTTCATTATTATTCACTTAACTGATCCATTGTTGTGCGTGTGCATATGTGTGCATGCACAAAAGTGTGTATCAGCTGCCACCCCCGAATGTCTAGACTGAAATAGTACCTCTGTTTGTGTTTGTGCGTGTGTGTGTGTGTGCCCACATTTGGATGTGTGAGTGCTATGATGTCTTGCGTCTGTCGATGAGATAATCTGGCAGAGCACAAACTGACAATTTGATCTATTGATCTGCCTCTTGTTGGCTCACTGGGAGTCTATGAGTTATGGTGCTGCCATTTCTTTTGGCCACCACCAATAAAGAGGTGAATTGCAAAGATTGTTACGCTCGTGCACATTTTCAGTCCACCAACTAAACATATAGATAAGCAAACGCACAAATATGCAAACGATAGCATAGCTAGCTAGCTGCTGGCTGAGGGTCAAAGGCTTTAGAAAATGCTGTTTTTAGTCTTGCTGTGTCAAAGCATGAGACTAAAGGACAACAAATGACAGGAGTGTCTGGTATCATGTGACATTAATGCAAAATTATTCAAGCAGTCTGGTCATGAAATTAAACAAAAAAGCTCAGTCGCCTTTGATTGCGTGGGACTATAGGTTAACAGAAAACACGTTATGCAGCACTCAAACGCAGAGCCTTCTTCCTTATCCTGTAAAAGCTACGCAGCAAGTCCAACACACGGTTGATATAAGGTGACTGCTTGTGCAGCAAACCCTGCTTTCTAAATGTTCATGACTTCATTTCACTGCTGAGATATTGTGCAGAAAACAATCGAGAGTGTGTGTGTGTGTGTGTGCGCTCCTGGGCATATCTGACTCAGTGCATTACCACACACAGATCAATAAAGGATTCTATTCTTGGCCATTAGATCTTGGAAAAAATAAATAAATAAATCAAAAAAGGATAGCCTGCCTCCCCCAGCTTTTCCCATCTTATTCCTCGTCCCTGCTCTCACTTATCTATTCGCCTGTGCTCCTCAGCCAACCACGGTCTCTGTTCCTCCCTTTTCCTCCTCCAGACCACACCAAAGGGACACTGTCATCGTCCCAGCTGGATAGTGAAGGCAGAGGCAGAAGTGAGGATCAAACATGGGACAGTTTTAGGGGATAACTCAAGTGACTGGCTTTATGGCTTGAGGGATCAGGCATCTCCTCAGAGGGGCGCACACAACGACAGGTTCCATTTCTCCTTGTAATTTTTAGTCCAGTGCCATGCTGCCAGAGTGAGGCCCTTGATCTGCCACTTCCTGCAAATCCCCAATGTGAGCAAGCAAAGGCCAAATGTCCTGGCAGGCCAACCAGGCAAAACAAACATACATACAAACATGTTCAGACATCTTTAGCCATGAAAAGCCACTATCTGCAATAATGATAACAATAACGAGGACTTGTACCCGCACAGGAGTCCCAGGACACCTTTCACAAGACCTGCGGCAGCCACAATGTTCACTGAAATGCACTGAAAGCACTGCAGAAACAAAACAAAAAAAACATAATGAGTCATGAAATCTCCCATTCATCTGGGCCACAGCGGTATCACTGGCATCAGTTAAAGAGTCAGGCTGACTAAACAGCACAATAACAGAGGATTGAGAACCAGCATCCGGGAACAGATATATGAATCCCAATTCACCTCCTCCTGACTCTGATAAGACTCTGATCCACATCATTCAAACCCATCAGGGATTCTGCCGTTTATTCAGTTTCACAGTAAATACTAAATCTAACTCAGAATAACCTCAGGTTTGGTGCATTTTGATCTCCAAGCTGATGGTGACAGATGTTGAAGCTGCAGCTTTTTCTTACTCTGTGGAGGAATGCACCGGCAAAAAGAGATAAGCCCTATTAAGCCTACGTGCAACTTCCTGTAAAAGCCAAAGCATGGAGATTCTACCTGAAGAGGGATTTCATCTCCTCACAGCTAATGCGTCTCATGCTATAACAGTCTCTGCTCAAGTCCCTTTATGTGTCAAATCAGTAAACCTCTAGACATGTCAATCATAAGTACAATAGCCGGTCAGCTGTCTGACTCATTCTGAGAACATAACATAAAAAAGGTGCACAGGCTGTCCACCATTTCTTATTTTCATTTTTTTAAAGTAGCTACAGAGAGAATGGTTCTTGAGCCTGTATGAATGCCAGGAAAGGTGAACAAAACTGAGTCATAAGCATAGCTGCCAGCAGGTGGGAAAGAGGGACAGCTCTTCATCTCACTGTAATGAGCTGGCAAAGGTTGTTGGACAGGCAGAAGAACACATAGAGGACCTGTAAAGGCATCCTCACACTGGCAAGCTCGCAGGCGTTATTTGAAGCTATATGACTCCCCACGGTGTCATTTTTACAGCAAGCTGTTGTCTCTGTTTTAGTCAACGTCCTCATATTGAGACACCCGGGCACAAGCAGCCACTTATAAACGAACTGCGACGCATTCTTCAACATTCTTCCTCATTGGAGGAGGCTGTTATGTCAGTAAAAGCACTTAAGATAGGGTATTCAAGAGGTTCAGAGTTACTCTAACTCTGGGCCTATTTTATCCGTTATTTTACCATGAGATACTAACTGAAAGTTGGGAATATGATTTTTTTTAGGCTGTTGTTGTTTTTGTTTTGTTTTTACCTGATGCTGGCGGCTCAAAAGCTGACAGTCCGGGGCACAGATAACCCAGACCTCAGCGCAGCCTAAAAATACACTGAAACTCTACCAACTTAAATGAGCATCCAGCTATAGCAGCTCAGACATCTGTTCACTTACCTGTCTCCTTCCTCCCGGGGATGTTGCAACCCAAAAAGAGCCGCTACAGGCCGCAGCTGCCTTCAGCAGCTCATTGCTAAATGAAAGGATACAATCTGAGAGCTCCACTCTGGGTGCCGATGGCCAGTATCTTCTGGACTGGGTCGAAAGCCATGGATGACGGTTGATAGGGGAAGCCATGACGAACGGTCTGATGTAACATAATGAGATATTGGAAAAGGGAAAAAGGGAGAATTCATAAGAGAGAATATTAATATGCATTTCACAGCAAAGGTGTTGTTTTGTCGGAGGATGTCACACACCTGTTTTTGGTAAACAAATGGCCCAGATGGATGTTAAAGCTGTTATGAAACTGAAATATGAAGCTTGAAATTGTGAAGACATGAGAAAATGATAGAAAAGAACTCATGTTTTTTTTTCCTTTTAAAAATGAGCTTTTCCTTTGCATGGGCACCCCGTCCTTCATGATAGGCTGATATTTGGTCTCACCGTTTAGAATCCTTTTATAATCACAAGCCTATTTTGAGATTTGTTCTCTCTCATTTCTGTCTTTTTATGTTGTTTTCCCTTCTCTCTCTGCCTCCCACATGAAGTCGTGATTACACTGAAGTCTGAAAATAAAGTACATTAATGTGGAGCTTTGTTGCAGGGCCTTCTGAATACCTCTATGACACTGGACGGTCCTCCTGGCTCTTTATATTGTGCAACTGTAGTTTTATGGCACCAGACTGCTGTTGGTGAACCGCTGGATTTGTTTGCTTAGTGGCAGAGGGCTAAAGCAGATTACATAAGGAGCACTCAGAGCAGCAGAGACACCTGCTTTCCTTGCAGAGAAACATTACAGACAGTTGTTGTCCGGGCAGACAGTCAAGGTGCAGCAGGCTGTGTGAAGTCTTGTTCAAAGAAACTTCATTCAGATGTCTGGCTGCTGCCACGCTCGTTTCGCTGCAGTCTTTGTGCCGTTTGTTATTAAAGACCACGAGGAATGTCCATCGATGTGACTCTAGATTATATCATTATCATTACTTCAGGCACTCTGATTCATTAATCCCAAAAAATGTTGATCTACACTCCATTCAGGCTGAGCAACACATTCAGTGATTAAAACTCTTGAGCAAAAGAAAAGATTAAATTAATTCCAGCAGCCAATCTGTCCAAAGTATGTTGTAGTTTGTCAATGGAAATGCATTAATATGGCTAAAGAAATAGGAATGTTTTGAGTGCCGAGCTCTCTCAGAAAGACAACTGCTTAAGATCTACATTTATTGAATATCTAAAGGGCAATCAAAGTTCCATCATCAAACCTAGAACAGCTATTCCGGTCAAATATGTGGGGAGAAAACAAGAGCAAACACACAGCGTGGTCTTTTTAAATTCTACACCTTATCATTGGAGAACAACTGGGGGAAATGCGGAATTAAATTACAATGGGATAAGAAGTACCCTGCACAGCCTGAAAATGACAGGAGTGTTTAATCATCCCATCCATTGTTCTTGACGCCAATTTAGAAAGAAGATGGTACACTTTTTTATATTTCCAACCCAAACAGACCGCCATTCATGTCAGTCAGCATCGGTCTCCACAGGACTGATGATGATACAGCGGATAAAGCAGTGGGCTTCTAACATGTGTGGGACTGATGGGGACAGAGCAGAGTTGTATGTGCGCAGTGGTGGGATATATGGGGGGGGGGAAATGGTGAACATAAGTCAGGGAGTGAGGGGAATACACAGCGATTCACACATACGTACACCACAAACCACCGTTTGGTTAATCCAAACCCAGCAGATTATGCAAGAAGAGATCAGTTCAGCCCAACCCCTCGATATGACAGCTCATGCCATGCGCACAAACAGCAAACTATGATTTTGCACGGAGTGTTCTAACGCGTGTCACAAACGTAATTGATGATTTAAAAAAAGAAGAAGCATAGAATGCAAATATCCAACGTAATTGTTTCCAGAACGATCTTGCAACAAAATATGCGCATTGGGGTTTTGCATGAAAGCACAAAACGCTCCAACGAATGTCTTTCGGAATGTTACACATGTAAAAATCCATCTGAAGACTGTTCACAATAACATAAGAGCTACATGCTTTGCTATTTCACGTTTGTATAACTCACTTGCATCTTTTGTGTCCTGAAATGGGATGAGCCCAGCACAAACTGTCATTAATCTTTTTCTTTTTTCTTTTTTTTTAATGCCCGCAGGGGAGGATTAATGTAACCACTGAACGCAGCGGTAAGCCCAAATCCTGATCAAAATCACCAGTCTCACCCACCTTGCAGAGCTGGAAATGATCGGACTGGAGGGTCTCCTGGATCAGATGGTTCTCCTGTGGCCCCACTTGGACAGACGGCGTGGAGGAGGACGCTTCTTTCAAGCCGTCCAGCACCTTCCTGATGTTGAACTTCTTCATTTTCAGACTGCACAACACAAAATTGAAATCACCTGCAAAAGGTTGAGGGAGGCAGCCACTTTTTCTTTTCTCGTGCGCACGCACACACACACACGCGCGTGCGCTTTCTGTCTACTCTAATATCCCCCCCCCCCCTGGTGAGCCTCACATTTTTAGTGCTTTTTCTTAAGCGCGGTGTCCATATTTAAGGCTCCGGAGCGCACCGCGCAGGGGTCGCCTCTTGACGTGGGAAGGAAGGAAATGTGGAGGCAGGAGGCTTGCTGGATGTTGGTGTAATTTGCGAGGAGTCCGTGCACGCTGTGCCCCCTTTACTCTGCGTCTCGGCTTTCCCCCTCCCCTCCCCTCTCTCCTCTCTGCTGTGCGCGCCGCTCAGCCAAGGCGGAAACGCAGCGCGGCGGTGGTGGTGGTGGAAGAGGAGGTGGTGGTGGTGGATATGCTGCTGCTGCTGCTGCTGACGCTCTTGCGCATGACAGAATGGAGGTTTCAACACAAATCCCGCCACCTTGCCAAGCCACTCGCTCCCTCTCTCCTCGTTTCATCTGCACCCAGCGAAAAAACGCCTCCTCCCTCCCTTCCTCCTTTCTGTAGCGCACACACACACAGAGCGGGGTTTGGCTCCACTGCACCTGGTGATGCTGGGATGCTGCGGCGGTGTGAGTGTCTGCGTGGTGGAGACAGACGAGCAAACACACCGAGGCCCCTGTCCCAGGCTTTTCCGCTGCACCCCTCGTCTTGTCAACCCCGTTTGGATCTGTGTGCTTGCAAGGGAGATTCGCCATGTTAAAGGCTTTTCTCTGGGTAGAAGTCAACCCAAAGGCACGCCTGTATTTATCAGTTTGGGGGTATTAAAGAGTATCCACTTATCACTGAGCATTGGGTTTATATATATATATATATATATGGTCGAACAGAAAGCTAATTGGCTCCATTATTTAGGAATGAATGGGGGGTTCGTTTGCACAAAAAAAGGGTATTGAATTACCCAACAGATGAGCAAGCTCTGCGTCTGTCTGTATCCATGGAAATAGTTGTTTCCGGCTCATGGTGGAATCCAACAGTTTTCCTGTCACTCATACCCGCCCCCCTTCCATATGGTAAACTCAGTAGATAGGAGCTTGACCATGTGCATCAGTCCACAGTGGGGGGGGGGGGGGGGTTCAGCAAAGACTTCAAGGTATTTTTAGCATCATGCTGTTTTGTTCTACTTCGCACAGATATTGAAATGTAAAGTCTTCAGAGCCGTAATGGCTCTGAAGACTTTACTGAGCATCAACAACTTGATTTTTGTCATGTCTAAAATGCCTTTGATTATCACAAAACCAACAAATAATTTTGGTTTCTCATTTGGAAATGAAAAAACATGGAAAATGAAGTTGTCGTTTTCATCTACGGTTACTTGATGGACTTCATGATACGCATCAATATGGTTGTCTGGTTCTGTCTCTCTTTCCATTTTTTAGTTTTTAACCTACTTAGACAACCCCGAAAACACCTTGCACCCTCACTGACCACTGTTATTTATTGTATGATGAATGCACAATTGTCTGTAGAGAGTTTTAGATGGCAGCTATTTATGTCTCCAAACAAACAGCTCAAAGGTACCTGTTGTTACTGTTAAGGTGTCCTTCATGAGCTTGTTTCCAGCATCAGCTTTTACAAACATCTACCATTCAGACATGTTCAGCGTCTACCACGCCTCCCCTTAAACGGCCTGAGTTCACAACCTCTGTACGGCCGTGTGTATTTTTTGTGGCGGGCATTTAAAGTACCAGCCTTGACAAGCTCAGCTGATACTCTCATGCTTGAGTGGCACAGACGTGGCCACCTGTTTGGGCCGTTTGCTAACTCGCTCCTCCTGGCCGACAGGTGCCCACCGGCGGCAGGGACGGAGGCAGAACAGTGGAAGTAATATCTGCGTCTCTGCTCCGGCTGGCCACACCTGATGCCAGTTCTCATGGAAAAAGGCCAAATGGCAAAATGAAACCCTACCATGCAGTTTCGTTTTTTGTTTGGATATCGTCTATATCCATCCTACTGGTAAAATAAACAGCTATGCTTATTTACATGCATTTCCGTATGGACTACATTACAGATAAAAGCAACAAAAATATATGAAAAGAACCAGGGAGAAAATAATTAATTCAGTAATCATACCGGGTTGGCCTGGGAACAATTGTTGCTGCGCTGACCGCTTTAATGAACTAAAACTGACCATACACAAATTCCAACCCCAGCTGAAATCACCTGATTCTGAATACATCAACCCGGCAAACAATAGAGACTTATTAGTCTGTAATCCTTGCGTGTGTGTGCATGAGTGTACGTTGGTGATACTGACATCAGTGATTTAATTTAGCACCATTGTGTCACGGCCAGGCCATTCATCTAGCTGTGTCGTGTGCCCGTGTGTGTTGTGTTCAGTGGCCGACTGCTGTGTTTGTGCGCATTGATAAGGCTGTATACTGAACCTGCGCTGTTGGTGGGTTTTGTTGTTTGTTTGCCATTGTTTTAGTTATGCCTTTGTGCACTTTTCATGTGGAGTCATAGTTTAAATGCAGCCGAACGGAAATAAAAGGGAGAATGGATTGTGTTGATATGTTGCAAAAGTCTGGGAGATATGGTTACAATAACACATCGGACCAACTGGATTTATAGCTGTTTGTGGAAATGATTACAAAGATCTATTCTTTTGTAAGATTAAATTAGTTCTGAGTTGGTGGCTTTAAATACAGTTGATGTCCAGTAAATGTTTCAGGTCCCTGTCCTTTCTCACTAAAACTGCAATGAGGAATGAATATTTTAATGTTTGTATGCTGACAGATTGCTTCCGTAGCACATTTTTGGGGCTTCATCAATCAAGGCAACAAGCTTAAGAATTATGCAAATTGAGGCCTGGATGGATTGATGAACCAAAACATTTAGAACTGGGACTGACTGCATTTAGCAACTCAAAATTTGTCTGGTGGCCAGCCTTCGCTGATGAGTGAAAAACCCAGTGGGGATCACTGTTTTAGCCAATGTGGAGTGAATAAATCAATGCAGAATCAGAAATGAATATTTCATGAGATTTTTTTTGTTTGTTTTTTTGAGGACATGCTGGCAATGCAGAGGGTGAAGTGTGGACTGAAGTGTGACATAAAAAAAAAACACAACTTACCTTTGCAACTGTGCATATATTACACAGCTTTTTTGCATGAAAATCATAAATATGCATGGCCTGCCTCATGCATCTTATTATATGTCCTACAGCAGGGGCTCTGCGGTTAGATGAACGTACAACAGGTCCAGACCATTTGCAGATCAGTAAACGCTGTCACAACGCACATGAGTGCAACATACGTGCCTTTTATATCTGCACAGAATCCCAGAGGAAAAGATATTGCCTTTCCATCTTAACAGGGATGGACCTTGTCAGACTCCCACACATCCGCAGCTGATCCATCCATCAGCAGCGGTACGCTGTCCAGCCTCGGCACTCTAAGCCCCCTCTTTGCCCCCGATGACAACAAAGTCCCTGTGCTGTCTGGAGAGAGAGTGAAAAAACAAAGGGAGGACGTGGGGGGACAACATGGTGTTGGAAAGAATCAGGTGTCTACCTGCCATGCAGAAGGACTGGGGGGGACGGGACCCTCCGCCCTCGCTGACAGCTGCAGTTAATCAAGTGCGCCGTAGCACACCTGAGTTTAACATTCACGACCCCCCCCCCGGCGTCCCTCCAGCGTTCAGCCGCCGTGTCCTCAGCAGAGTGTGAGGTTGCACATTATCAGAAAAAACCAAAGTCACACGGTGTTTTCTGGATGGCGATCAAAAAGGAGCAGGAATAGACACTTGTGCGAGCTGTTTTGTCACATGGGTGGCACGATCACAAAACAGCTGGAGAGCAAAAGGGAAACATACCGAGATGGCAAAAATGATGCATGAAAAACATGCAAGCACAAGCACGCACACGCGCGCGCAGAACACACACATCTGCAGCAGCTAATGAGCCATTACCCTTGCGGGAACGCTTGCTTGCCTAAACAGGAGGATGCTTTCAATGTCAAACATGCATGTACTGTAAACACGTTGCGTAAAGCGGGAAACAAAGCTGAGAAACGCATCTCCTTCACCCTCCCATCCACCGCCAGTCCTTATGGTTTCGGGGGAGGTTATGAATATTGATGGGGGCCATTAAAAAAGATGACTAGGTGGGGGAGGAGCTATTGAAAACACTGTAAAGCTCTCATTAAGTTCACGCAGCTCCTAATCAGGAAGCTAGAGATAACAAAAACAGAAATGTTGTTTTTCCTTGAGAAAACAGTTGGATGTGTTGTTTAATTATGTCTTGAGGTCAAAAGGTCATGCATCCTTAACAACCCAGAAATGAAAAATCTTGAAATAGTGTGTGTGTGTGTGTGTGTGTGTGAGAGAGAGAGAGAGAGAGAACAGCTATGTTTGAGTAAACAGCTTAGGGGATGGATATGACATGTCATCTTGTATGTGCCCGGGGCAGCACAGCTGGTTGCCAATAATCAGGCAAGGCGATAAGCTGGCCATCAACAAACACACACACACACACACACACACACACACACACACTAAAGCAGATGGATTCCACTATTAAAGGAAAGGGCATTGCCACTGTTGTCATTGCAATGACACAGAAAATCTGAGAAGACAGATTCTTAGAGAGAAGCTGCGCCGAAATTAAATTGATTTGAAGCAGTCATGTGGAGACTGAAGAGACATGAGAGGTGAAACACACTTTGGCCTCAGTTCAGCGTCACTGACTTAGTGGGTTGAGAAAGTGGTTGATGAGGAGGAACAAGTGAGGGAACTGTTGGTCACAGTCCTTTGAAGGAGCAGGAGGAGGAGTTCAACGCAGCCGACCGAAGGTCACCAGGAGTTAAGGTATTTTCTTGTGCAGGGATCTAAAAAATGTCACAATCCACATCAGTTATACTAGGGCAAATGGTGTCGGACTGCACGAATAATTGCCGGGCAAAATTGTGTCCCCTACGATTATTCTCATTGTTGAATCGAAACAAAGTAACAAGACAATGCGAACAATAACTGAACCTCAAATCGGAATGCTTAAGAACAGTTGAGTTTCTTTATGTTTCATTTTCATTTTTCACTTCCTGATGTTTCTATACAGTGTACGATTTTCAACGGTTCTTTGTGTATTTTTTATTTTAGATAATTCAGCAGATCAGACAGAAGGAACAGCTCTTTCTCGTTATAAAAATATTTCAGCTAGCCTATTTTAGTCGCTGAAATGGTGTGAGGCAACACATGTAGAACCACCTTTATCCACATATTAGAAGTGAAAGCCTGTCAGGATGTGTTATATATTTGGAAATGCAAAAGCTAAACACAGGCACTGAAGGCCCATTCTGAAGGAAATTGAACTCCTCAAAGACTTCAGCTGAATGACGGAGAGCCGTCCTCCAGCAGTCTCCTCTCATCCTGTTGCCTCTGATGCTAAATTAAACTGAGCAATTATCGCTTGTGATTGGCAAAAGCTATTGCACAACGCAATAAAGTAGGATGAAACTTAGCCTTTTATTTTATTGGCAACCTGACACCTCCCGGCTATGCCGTGCAAACTGAGCCTGCAATGCTGGATGATACAATCATCTCAGACACCAGGCAATTAAGTACGGATTCCAGCAGCCACTGTCATGCTATTTTAGGAGTTTGTGTGTATCCTTCCATCTAGTCATCTACAAAATATACCTCATCCACATGTGAGCTGGGATATCAATAGATGTGTGATTGGTGTTGCAGTAAAGAAGAT